TAAGCTTATAAGTGATAAACAGGAGGAAACTGAGCCAACAGAAATTGACAGATTATTTTATAAAGATGATTTTTCAAAAGCAGAACCTGCAGAAGCCAGTCTGTCCTTCATTGTGGCTTCTATGTGTGCTCATGGCTGGTTAGGTCTACACTCACCTTGTTGTATTATTTTTAATAGACTGAAAATGTCTGAATATAATTTACCAAGTACTAATTGTTTATAGGACAAGATGGAGAGTTGCGGATCATATGCACATATTTAAATATGTTTTAAGTTTTTAACAATTAGCCTTGTAAAGGCACAGCCTGAGGCGACTATTTAGAAAAGAAAGAACTACATAACTAACAGTTTTTCAGCCACAATGAAGACCATTTCTTTCATCCCCTGGTTTTTGGTAATGCGGCTCCTTCAGCATGATGGTTTACTTCAGATCCAGTGTCCACCATCTGGTTTGAGGTTTAGCACCATGACAGGCACCAACCACCTTGCAGCTGCAGCTCAGTGCAGCCGCTTCACCAATGGAGGTGCTGAACATGGTCTGCTTAGGCTAAATGTCCCCAGTCTTCCTCTGACAGCTCAGCTCTTTTTAAGGATTCAAGGAGCTTTATTGTCATTCACATAGACGTAGAGTGCAACAACCTGAGTACCAGTATGGAGCATGGATATAAAATGTAGGTATAAATATAGGAATAAATATTTTAGCAGTAAAAGGGCATGATGACCAGCATTGATAAAGTGACAGTGTCAGTAAGTGTCATTAGTGATTAAGGTGCTACAATATCAGCTCTTGTCCATTTATGCATTGAGAAGTCTCACAGCTTTAAAATGAAGCTGCTTCTCAGTCTTGTGGTTTTGCATTTAATGCTCCTCAGAGACTGTTTTTCCTGCACCGGTCCTCCAAGTGTTCCACCTCCTTCCTGCAACCTGTCTCATCATTGTTTGTGATGCAACCAACCACAGCTGTGTCGTCCGCAAACTTCACAATATGACAGCCTGGATGGTTGGGTAAGCAGTCATATGTAAGCAGCATGAACAGGAGGGGACTTGGCACACAGCCCTGAGGGGAGCCAGTGCTGAGGACTATGGAAGATAAGGAGACATTGTGGATCCTCACAGACGGTGGTCTGTTGGCCAGCAAGTCCAGAACCCAGTTACAAAGAGAGGAGCTCAGTCCAAGAGTCAGTAACTTATCAACAAGTGTCTGCAGGATCATTGTGTTGAACACAGATGAGAAGTCCATAAAGAGCATACTATTAGTCCTTTATTCATCCAGGTAAAAAATCTCATTGAGAATAAAAATCTCATTTTCAAACGTATGAATTCTTCTGCTCCAGGTGGGTGAGGGTGGTGTGAACCACAGAAGAGATGGCATCTTCTGTGGATCGATTCTTCCGGTAGGCGTACTGGTCTGGGTCTGAAGTGACACTGATGGTGGCTTTGATATGGGCCATAATCAGCCTCTCAAAGCATTTTGTGACAATCGGCGTGAGGGTTACTGGGTGATAGTCATTTCGACCTGTCACAGCAGAGCTCTTGGGGACTGGGATGATGGTGGCGGTCTTCATACAGGTGGGGACAGCTGCCTGGATGAGGGAGGAGTTAAAGATGTCTGTCAGGACCTCAGTGAGCTGATCAGCCCAGTTCCTCAAAACCCGCCTGGGGATGTTATCTGGGGCGGCAGCTTTGCAGGGTTTAATCCTCTTGAGGGTCCTCTTCACTTCAGCTGTGGTCACACTGAGGGTTTCTTCATCTGATGGTGGTGAGAGTCTGTTTGTTGGGGAGGAGGTTAGGTTAGGGTCCTCAAAGTGGGTATAGAACCAGTTGAGAGCCTCAGGCAGAGAAGGATCCCTAGGGCATTGTGTATCCAAAAGTATTCAGCCCCCTTGAACTTTTCCACATTTTGTCACATTACAGCCACAAACATGAATCAATTTTATTGGAA